GCAGTGAAGGACGGATTGGGCCCGCGGCCCGTATCCCAGACTGCCAAACGTCACTTTCTGAAACGACTAGAAACTAGCTCCAAACCTTGACTTTTCCTGCGTTTCTGCACTGCCAACTGCCACCCTGCTCGTGTCCTCCTGGAGCCGGCTTTCGTTCTGCACCGCTTCGGTCCAAGCTGGAGTCCAAGGACCGTGTCGCAGGGCTAAAACACCATGGCAGTGAAGGAAGGATTGGGCCCGCGGCCCGTATCCCAGACTGCCAAACGTCACTTTCTGAACCGACTAGAAACTAGCTCCAAACCTTGACTTTTCCTGCGTTTCTGCACTGCCAACTGCTCACTGCTCATCACTGGAGCCGGCTTTCGTTAACCAGAACGACGGAAGGGGGACGAAGAAAGGAAGACAGAAAGAAGGAGAATGAGGAGTGAGACCACCTGCCACCGCTTCGGTCCAAGCTGGAGTCCAAGGACCGTGTCGCAGGGCTAAAACCCCATGGCAGTGAAGGACGGATTGGGCCCGCGGCCCGTATCCCAGACTGCCAAACGTCACTTTCTGAACCGACTAGAAACTAGCTCCAAACCTTGACTTTTCCTGCGTTTCTGCACTGCCAACTGCCACCCTGCTCGTGTCCTCCTGGAGCCGGCTTTCGTTCTGCACCGCTTCGGTCCAAGCTGGAGTCCAAGGACAGTGTCGCAGGGCTAAAACACCATGGCAGTGAAGGACGGATTGGGCCCGCGGCCCGTATCCCAGACTGCCAAACGTCACTTTCTGAACCGACTAGAAACTAGCTCCAAACCTTGACTTTTCCTGCGTTTCTGCACTGCCAACTGCCACCCTGCTCGTGTCCTCCTGGAGCCGGCTTTCGTTCTGCGGCCTCCAAACCTTGACTTTACCTGCGTTTCTGCACTGCCAACTGCCACCCTGCTCGTGTCCTCCTGGAGCCGGCTTTCGTTCTGCACCGCTTCGGTCCAAGCTGGAGTCCAAGGACCGTGTCGCAGGGCTAAAACACCATGGCAGTGAAGGACGGATTGGGCCTGCGGCCCGTATCCCAGACTGCCAAACGTCACTTTCCGAACCAACTAGAAATAAGCTCCAAACCTTGACTTTTCCTGCGTTTCTGCACTGCCAACTGCCACCCTGCTCGTGTTCTCCTGGAGCCGGCTTTCGTTCTGCACCGCTTCGGTCCAAGCTGGAGTCCAAGGACCGTGTCGCAGGGCTAAAACACCATGGCAGTGAAGGACGGATTGGGCCCGCGGCCCGTATCCCAGACTGCCAAACGTCCCTTTCTGAACCGACTAGAAACCAGCTCCAAACCTTGACTTTTCCTGCGTTTCTGCACTGCCAACTGCCACCCTGCTCGTGTCCTCCTGGAGCCGGCTTTCGTTCTGCGGCCCGTATCCCAGACTGCCAAACGTTACTTTCTGAACCGATTAGAAACTAGCTCCAAACCTTGACTTTGCCTGCGTTTCTGCACTGCCAACTGCCACCCTGCTCGTGTCCTCCTGGCGCCGGCTTTCGTTCTGCACCGCTTCGGTCCAAGCTGGAGTCCAAGGACCGTGTTGCAGGGCTAAAACACCATGGCAGTGAAGGACGGATTGGGCCCGCGGCCCGTATCCCAGACTGCCAAACGTCACTTTCTGAACCGATTAGAAACTAGCTCCAAACCTTGACTTTTCCTGCGTTTCTGCACTGCCAACTGCCACCCTGCTCGTGTCCTCCTGGAGCCGGCTTTCGTTCTGCACCGCTTCGGTCCAAGCTGGAGTCCAAGGAGCGTGTCGCAGGGCTAAAACACCATGGCAGTGAAGGACGGATTGGGCCCGCGGCCCGTATCCCAGACTGCCAAACGTCACTTTCTGAACCGACTAGAAACTAGCTCCAAACCTTGACTTTTCCTGCGTTTCTGCACTGCCAACTGCCACCCTGCTCGCGTCCTCCTGGAGCCGGCTTTCGTTCTGCACCGCTTCGGTCCAAGCTGGAGTCCAAGGACCGTGTCGCAGGGCTAAAACACCATGGCAGTGAAGGACGGATTGGGCCCGCGGCCAGTATCCCAGACTGCCAAACGTCACTTTCTGAACCGACTAGAAACTAGCTCCAAACCTTGACTTTTCCTGCGTTTCTGCACTGCCAACTGCCCCCCTGCTCGTGTCCTCCTGGAGCCGGCCTTCGTTCTGCACCGCTTCGGTCCAAGCTGGAGTCCAAGGACCGTGTCGCAGGGCTAAAACACCATGGCAGTGAAGGACGGATTGGGCCCGCGGCCCGTATCCTAGACTGCCAAACGTCACTTTCCGAACCGACTAGAAACTAGCTCCAAACCTTGACTTTGCCTGCGTTTCTGCACTGCCAACTGCCACCCTGCTCGTGTCCTCCTGGAGCCGGCTTTCGGCCTCCTCTGACGCGCTCCCCCTGCTGACGGCAGGGGTCGGCGGATAATCACATATAATCACAGGATTGTCGCGTTCAAGAACGACTTAAACCACTTGCAGCGATCATCAGTGTTTTCAGTGTTTTTTGGTGACTGAATTTGCTGCTCCAACATAGATCTGCAGATAGATAAGAGTTTGATCACTCCACTATCTCCACTCCACTAGTTGATTTTTTTTTCATATTGACGTCGTTGATATCGTTGTCCTGTGAGGTGGGCATCCATGGAATCTCCGTGGTGATCACAGGCTGGCATGGCTGGCTTTTCCGAACAGCCAAGTGTCTTGTGGAACTGGCACATGGATTTCATGGATTTTGACATATTTTGACAAGGTATATATTCTGTAGCTTCCGTGGCTTTCAGCTTTTAATGCTGAAGTGTCAGTCCAGTTCGCAAGAGGCACCCGAGGGCAGAGAAGGTGGTCAAGCAAAAGGCAAGCAACCGGTGAACAGCTCCCACTTGCGACTTCAGTGGAGAAACCATTGACATAATGACATATTGTGACGTGGTGACCAATATTTTCTTCGGTAAGATGCTGCAAGATGCTGTATGGATCAGTGATGCATAGTGAGTTTCCCATGCATAGTGCTGTTTTTGTTTCCATGGGAAACTCCAGGTGAGTTTGTGAGGCATCCCTCCGTAGCTTGTACAAAGAAAGTCTTGCTTAGCAATCGCCGTCGGAGCCGTCAAGAGCTTAGGCCGTCGTGCCCAAGGACTAGTTATTGGAGGGTCGATGCTTTCTGACCAACTCGTGTTATCTCGTGTTTAAGTTCATGAATATCTATGAATATCTATGAATGAATGTAATGTATCAGCAAATTTTCGGAAGTACTGATGGCCGACCCTCTGACTCTTCGCAAGATGTCTGTTGCGGAATCCGTGACGAGACCTAAACAGTTTGCTTGTTGTCAAGCTGGACGCTGAAGGTCCATCGTTCCATTATGCTCCCTTATCTTGCGTCATCGTTTCATCTTCATTCCATCTCGGTTCTGATTTTACGCCTCAGCATTTGGCTCAATATCCATAGCCAAAGGCCGGGCCTTACCGCTCCATGAGAGCCAACCAGGCTGGCCACTGGGAGCGTCAGGGTTTCGTGCAGGATGTTTGCTTTTTTGAATCATGACAGCTGTCAGGATACGGTAGTGAACATAGGTTTGTCTCTGACAACGAACCTTGGTTGCACAAAGAGGGCAAACTTTTCTTAGTTCCGAGTAAACTTGATTTGCCAAGGCTTGCACTTCTCATCCATGCTAGCCAGAGCTTGGATCTGAGTTTGGACTTTCAGCTCCAACGAAGAAGAATGACGACAAACTGTTTGTCGAATGATGTATCACAGAAACTGGCCCACACAGATACAAGATGCATGTATGACGTAGCACTGGTGAAAAGAAGAGGCAGCAGTGAGTTGGTGAAACACTGATTGCCTCCATCCTTTTCCCTACACATCGGTGAGAGGAGCGAAGTCGAAAACTACAGATGCGGTCGATACACAAAGGGCTTCAGAGGATCATCCAAACATGGCTTACTGATACTTACTGCATATGTATGTTTATGTTTATGTATGTGTATAGATAGATACATCTTCATAATGTATAATTCTGTATATGATAATATATACATATATATTCATATATATCTATAATTTTTATGACCCAATTGTAGAGCAGCTTTTTGCACAGTCTGATTGGGACGAATCACATTGGTAGAGACTTCAAACTGATCAAAGCTATCATGGCTTGAAGTCTTTGGAGCACTTCACTATTGCCAGTGCAGATTGCTGCACTTGACCCACGTCACATCAAGCTGTGTGGTACAAAAACAACGTTTCAGAAAGATGCAGCAGGGCCGTGGCTCCAGACAAGACTTTCACTAAGTCACTAAGGCTTAGACGTAAACCATGCTTTGCGAAGAAATTCTGCCAGAGAGCCCAGTGTGCGTCCGTTTCACATGGCATCTCAATGCAGCTCAACATTAGGATGGTGAAGGGTTGCATGCAAATCACTGAGTCCTATCTGCAGTAGAAAGCTTCAGCACTGGCATTCACTTCGGCGTGTGAGCCACGAGCAAACATTTGTCAGGTTTCTTCGGCAAACGTCGCACGGGCCTTGGAGCCTCAGACTAGAATCTGGTTGGGTTTGTTGTAGCCGCAGCCACGGAGTTTATAAAAGTTTCTTCGGGAGATGGAGGCAAGGCCTTGTCCCGCCACATGCATTCTCATTCGCGAAGACAAGTTATTCCTCGACGTAGATGCCTTTGGCCTTTGTCCTTTTCTCTATTTTTTGAACTTTCTTTTAAAGGTTCGGTCATCCGGCCAAGGTCTCTGATGTAGCAAGCCGCTTCTCGAGCTTGCTGCAGCAGTCCAAAGCTCATGTTGAGTTTGAACTGCCTGAGGGTCAGTTGCCTGAGGGTCAGTTCCTAGTCGACCACCTACCACATACTTGTACTATCTGTATACTGTATACATATTTAATCATATTTATATTTATATATATCCGAAGAGCATCGGACGTTCGCAGTCTTGGCTCAGATTTTTTGGTTGAGCCCCTTCTTCCAAACTATAAACATTTTGAATCATTTGATGAAATCATGCAGGGAAATCTCCAAACCTTTGGAGGTGATCGACGATCTGTTTGCACCATATGCAGACTCTTATAACACTGGCCTGGCTGGCACGCTTCCTCCACGTGAATGGCGAGAGAAGGCCCACTTCATTCGCTTTCTGCAACTTCAAGACGAGGACAACTTCCGACACATTCCTTGCCTCAACGATCTCAACGAGGAGGAACTTGAGAGCGTTGCACACCAAAGCCTTGTGCGATATCGATGTATGGTACAGGATGTGCTGGAACCAGAAGTTTTTTCCTCTTTGCTGGTTCAGACAGATTCATATGGTAAGGCAAAGCTCCTGACAACCAAGTACCGTGAGATTTGCAGTGCGGAAAATGTGAGCGATTTGGGAAACCAAGGGCTTGGGACCCGAGGAGTCTACTACTGCGTTCCGATGCCAGGAGAAAGCGTTTGGGCACACGCTCCAGGCAGATCGAGTGTACTGACGGCTAAATCTGTGGAACCAGAGACGTGTGAAAGGCCACCAAAGCAGCGCAGAGGTGCCGGTGGTACAAAGATTCTGTGCTCAGACATTGACCCCTGTGACCAGCTTGCCGAGTCTGCGGAGCCTCAGGCTCTGTGTAGCTTCAAATCCTCTAAATTTTCCGCTGGCTTCGTATCCTGTGTCGTGAAACTCTATGATGCAGACGAGGAGATTTTGAGACTCTGCGAGACGGTGGAGATACTGGGTGTGTTTTGCATGGATTGCAATCAGCCACCTGCAGATCTGTGTGATGAGGGCGACAACCTGCCAAGGCTTCACGGCCTCTTCGTTCGGAAGCTGCCGTTTTTCCACCCCATGTTGCCTTTTAGCCCGCGCTGGCTTTCTGAAGGTCGGCTGGTGTGTACCGTACAAAGGCGTTTTGCTTCTAGTGCCATTGGCAAGCTGCGTGGTTTGGCCATCAAATCTTTGCAGAAGTGTTTGGCTGGCGATGTGCTGGCGGCAGAGTACATCCTCGCTTTGTCTGTGGCTCGAGTCTATGGCAACAATGGGAACAGATCACTAGGGCACTGGTCTTTGAACATTAGCGGGTGGCCCGAAGACCTGTCTGTTGCTGCTCTGGTTGAGGCGATTTCCAACTTGCTACCACGGGTGGTACATCTACCAGTGACGGCTCAATCTTTAAGCACTGAGCAATGGAAACCGCGAAAAGACTTTGAGGCGAATCGCTTGCAGACGGGTCAGTTGCAACTAGCACCTGGCACACTGCTGATTTTGGACGAGACAAATATGGAAGTTGGGAAGTTGGATGAAGCTGGTGTCAAAGCATTGCGAGCCATTCAAGCTTTGGATTCAGAACAGATGCTTTTGATTGACTTTGACAGATACGAAGTCCAGATTCCTTTGGAGGTGAACTGCCTGTATGTATCAAACAAGTCATCGATGTTGAAAAATGCCGACATTCTTTTGCCCCTAAGACCACAATTGAACAACGTTGACTATCCAGAAACTTCTGCTGGCAGCTTGGAGGCGCTTCGGTTCCTGCTTGGACTTGTATCACACCGAACACAGCCACTGCATTTGCAACAGATCATGGGAGCCTTTAGCGAAGACTTTGCTCATATGCGCGACGAGTTCCGAGATATGCATCTGGGGCAGCATACTCTTCACGTTTGGGTAGCTCTAGCCAGAGCTTGCTGCTATACCCATGGGGAAGAAGAGATGACTCTTCAACGGTGGCGAATGGTCTCGGTGTTTGAACGAGAGCGTTGCCGACGTTGCATTGAAGGTTAAGTATAGGCGGAGATCTGAGACACGTGTGCAGGCGAACGGCCCACAGCGAGTCCGCTTTGATGCCTTCCGGAGGTTCAACTTCCACGAGAGCACTGTAAGGGTATGAACGAACTTATCCCATCTTATCCCATGCACGCCAGCCATTTCGCTGTACAAGGAGCATCATGGAGCAACATCATCTTCCACATGGCAATTGCTTTATCCGGTGGTTTTCATCTAGATCCATAGCTTTCGCTCTTCAGTCGTTGAGCCTAGGGCTTGTCGAAATCAGCTGGCTCTCAGGCTCACACCGCCCGTTTGTGTGGCAGCACGGAAAACCCATGATCATAAAAAAAGGAGAGTGGAGACATCCTATAGTGCTCACATTGATACTCTGCTAAGCTGCCTGTTCTTCAGAGCTGTTCCTGTGTATAAATCTCCTCTCCCTGTCGACAGACGACATCGAGTCATAGACTCACTGGAAAATCTTCAGGTTGCACGACAGAGATGCAGAGCAGTCTCTTCTAGATGCAGCCGATGCAGAGAGGCACAGTTCTGGATTTTGGGCAGATAATTCTTCTATGGTCATCATATGTCATCATACGTCATCATGTTTTTCCTGTCTTCCAATTTGTCAGGACCCGATCCACGATCCAAGAGGCCATCTCTGCCAAGGACAAGGCTCTGCTGGAGAAAGCCTACGAGCTTCGAGAGGAGTCCCGAATGGAGGAGGAGAATGCGCAAGGCGTGGTCACCACGTGTTCACCACGTGGTCACCACGTCAACTTGGGTCAAGTTGATCTTATTTGATATCCGCAGTTGAGATGTTCTGCAGATCCACTGCGCGTTTCACATAGCCTTTATTCAATGCTTATCACTTTGTCAGACTTATATATCAGTTACAAAAAGGTAAGAGTTGTTCATGTGCAAAGCTGAGCATTCGTTCCGCTGCCTGCGTGAACAGGGATGGCATCCAGCTTTGCCGCAACGCTCCAACAATTCAGTGGCCAAGCAGAGGGCCCGAATCTCAGACTGAGAGGGCAGATCAGTGCTGTGAATTTCTCGGATCTGAGCTTTCTCAAATGACATTCGGGGCAAACATGAATTCAGCAAAGGGGACCCGGGGACAGTGCACTTGGGAGGTGCTAGTTCTTGCAAGGGCCTCGCTTGCGGAGGCTGGTGTTCAACACCATTTGTTGACAGCGCAGAACAGATCCCAACAACGATGTCGCAGGCAATGGGTTTTGCGATGAGAGCAGCCAAGAAGGAGCTCGTTGCAGATGCAAGGCGAGATTGATTCGTCGTCGAGCCGTCGAGCCATCGAGCCGTCGAGCGGTCGAGCCGGTGATGCCCAATGCGTCCTTCAGGCTGGCTACGAGGGTGTTGGTCTCTCAGATTCGGCTTACTGACTGATTGTAATCGAAGCAATGTCTTGAACATCTTGCTACGGAACTTATGTATTTGGATTTGATCATCAAGTGATCCTGAAACGTCCTTGGTCTGTCTGTGGCCCTTAAATCAAGCCTTAAATAGCCTTGGCATTTTCCATTGTGACCATGCTAAGACGGGATTTGTATGCAACCCGGCGGTTTCTTTCGTGGAGCACCCGCTGATCTCCGAAGCTCCTGGGTCAAAGGCGCCACAGGCCGCATCCTGCATCAAGTGGCAGATTGGCTAAGGTTCATTGATTTTTCATGAATTGTTCATTGCTAATCTTCATTCTTGGCATTCTCATGCACTTTCCACTTTGGAAAGTAAAACTCAGTTAAACTGACTTGAACTCATTGAACTTGCAAGGTAGCTGATTTGCATGTGACCAGCTTGCGTCCGGCCCTTGGCTTAACTTCTTGAGATGGGGCCTGCCCTTTCATGGACGTGAGGCGACAATGCAGTGGCCGTGCTGTTCCGCGATGCTTCCAGGTGCTCAAACGATAAGGTCTTTGCAGGGTCTTGCAGTCTTACATGGTATTTAAATGTATTTAAATGATTTTGAACGTATATGGTAATTTATGGCAATGTTTTGGATACTTTTGGATCATCTTTTGTAGGGCAAGGCACGATGTCTTGTTTTATTCACAGCTGGCATAGCTGTCTCAGGCAAAACCGTGGCTTCCTCGTCATCGGGGTAGCTCAAGATAATGGCATGCGTGTCATCCTCATGAGCATGTTGAGTCAGTTGAGTCATGCACAAGCTTGTTCTTTTGCATTGTGTTGAGTTGTTCAGAACATTTTGCTAGCAACTTAGAACATCTTACAGGAGAGTCCACAGATACAGGGCTAATTGAATATGCAAACAATATGCAGATATGAGGATAAAACAAATAAGATTCTTTCAATTATCCTATCTATCCCTCGACTGATCCCAAGGCTGGAGCGCTCCAGCGCTTCTGAGTTCGCAGGGGGGCTTATCAATAGACAAACTTGGCTTTTCGAATTCATGTTGCTTGGAATAATCTGAGTATCAAGCCATCTCTGGCGTGTTTCTTTGCGGAATGTGACAACAGCAAAATTCCAAGATGAATGCAACCTGATCACTGATGGTCATGGTCAAAGCTCAAATGGCGATGGCGTGACTGGTTTGTCCTCCGTTCCAGCCGTGCTGAGGTCTGCAGTTTTCGGTCCTGTGTTGGCTGAGCTAGCGCGAGTCTGAGATCGATCATGGTCCAACTTCAGAAGCTAGTCCACTCTGCCAGATGAGTAATCCAGCGAGCTTACGAGGACTCTGACCTGGCCATCGCTTACAGGAGATGTGATGGGCAAAGCATAATCATTTTATGTCATTCTCAAGAACTATATGAAGACTTGCAGCCAAATTTCCCCAATCGTGTCCAGGGAGCGTGCTTATTTTTCATGGCGCGGAAGTGCTGAAGGAACGGTGTACCTGAATCCCAAGCCGCTAAGCCTCCAATCCAGGACGGACGATCGTGGCGGCGATGGTGTACTTCTGGCTGCAAGGCTAGCCTTGGGGACTGCAATAGTCTGGGGGCTGTTCCAGCTGGAGTGGTTTTGTGCGGACGGATTGAATCGCGATGGAGTGCCAGTTCATGATAGCAAAAGCATGGCGATTCTGCAAATGTTCAGGGCATATGGTACCCACATCTGACGTTGGATTTTTGGCAGTTCCAGCATGTATCAGCATGTCCTATGGTTGCAATTTCCAAAGCTGGAGCAGCATCTCACGCGGTAGTCTAATAGATCTACCGTGCTGCGATATGGGTAAACACTCAGATCCACTTATACCCATCTCACTCATCTCCAGTCTCACAGGCGAGATGCGGAGAACAGAATCCAGCTTGGACCTCCGCGCGTTTTCACACACTACCAGGCCATGGACCTGTGATTGGACGGAACCCCCTGGAATGCAGACGGACATATCTGGGTGTTGACAGGAGATTAAAGGCTGAGAAAGCATGTGCATAGCTTGGAACGGTTGGCATGACAATAATTGGCAACTGAGGCACAGTTTCGACCCACAGCCTTCAATGCCATGTCCTATTTTGACCATGCACCTGATGCATCTTGCTGTGGCCATTTTTCTATCAATGCTTTTCTATTAGGCCTAAAGCCATATGCAGCTACACTTTGCACTGGATGGAAAAGCTGAGTTCGCGTCACAGCTTGCTTCCACAGTGGCACCGGAGCTTGAAGATCCAGCTTTGCTTTTGCTTTGGCCGCGCGACTTCGGTTCTTTGCACGTTGGACCAGTCCCAGGTTTTTGACCACTTGGCCGGTGATCCTTGCGGTTTTGCTGGTGACGTTTTCAAAGTACTAGGGTGTTGTCCTGATCACCTAAAACTTCACTGGTTGCACGCGTGATCAGTGTTTGCTGTGGGTGAGACTGAATTCAACATTTTTGCTTTTGTCCCTTTCATCTCCTGAAGGGAGAAGTCATGGGGGACAATGAGAAGGACCAGAACGGTGGTGCTTGGAGCTGTGTCCCAGTCTGGGATGGTTCTCCTCAAATTTGGAGGGCATTTCAGAGATGAAATGGTGGACTAGCTGCCTTGACTTAGATGCGACAGAGAAATTCAACCTAGCGGCCCGATGGTTGCTGAGACAGTCAGGCGTAGTTCGCCAAAGAGGTGAAGAGTTCAACCCAGAAGAGCTGGAATATCAACATGAGACCAAAGCGCCTGACCCACAAACTGGTGAACAAGTTGTCATTGTGCCCGAGGACCCGCTGAGCGGCTTGAACAAGTTGTCGGAAACGTTGGAAAGCATAAATGGCAAAACGACACTTGACAAACGTGTGGAACTGAGAAACTCGTTTTTCTCGGGAGCTGAAGAGGAAACCAGGTGAACGGGAGTTGAAGAGGAAACCAGGCGAACGCATACCTGAGTTTTGCTCCAGGTTTCGTGTTTCTCTGGATGACCTGAGAACAGAAGGAGTGACTTTAACCTTCTGGAGAAGTTGGATGGTTTTTCAAGACAAAGCCTGGTCTTGATTCGCTGCGAGTTCAATTGTTTGACACTGCCTTGCAAGGGGCAGAAGACTGCGAGACCATTGAGTGTGAGGTGTTGAGACTTTTCAAGGATCTACATTCACAGGATCCGTTGGTTCGCAGGTCTTTTGGAGATAGCGGTAGCAAAGGTGGTTGTTTGATGCAGAGGTTTTTGACTTCGCAGAGTCCTTCGAGCAAGCCTTCATCCTATGCACCCTCTATGGCCAGCTCTGCACCTAGGTCCCACAGGACTTCCACAACTTCTGGTTCATCTAGCAGGTTTGGTAGATTTCCTAAACCTTTTGCGGCCAGACAGGCCATGGTTTCGGAGGCTGAAGAGCCAGAGCCGGATGATGAGGTTGAACTGATGGACGGCGAGAAAGATGTTGAGCCGAGCTTGGAGGATATCCTCAAGAACGAGGCCGAAGCCCTCGATGTTTCAACTCTACAGGAGATTGAGGAACCAGTTGAAACTGCAGCTGAAGCGCTCCTGACCATGAAGGAGGCCAGAACGAAGCTGCAGGACGTGAAGCGAGACCGAGGCTACATGAAGCCTTCTGATGGGCCTTCAAAGGCCACCTCAAAGAAGACTGCGACGAATCCTTGTTTTGATTGCGCATTGGGCAGGTGATCCTGACTGTGGCAAACCTGGACAAGGCCTTGCACGAAAGACTGCCCTGGAGAAGTCGGGCGGCAAGCATGTCAAGGTGGTTGAGAGAGCATGTTGATGATGAAATCGATGAGGGTCATGAAGTGCTCACCACAACCTTGCGGCCCTTGTCCCAGGCCTTTGTCAATGCGCTTGAAGACGCCCACTCCGTGTCAAAAGAAATGCTGATTGCACAGCGCTTGAAGCGTTGGCATGGCCGTGCACTTCTCTTAGCAGTGGAAGGAAGAAGCTCTGGCTATTTGAGCTACAAGGGGCAAGTGCGCTCTGGAACATATCAGAGTGGCTAGTACCATGGAGCAGATTGCCGCTGACTCTTGGCGTGAAGCCATTGAAGAAGCCGTGGAGGCAGCCGCCTTGGACTTAGCGGCCCGTGGGCTTCCTTTGGCCGATGGCGGTGAAGCAGCTGCAGAACAACCACCTGCGGCTGAGATTCCTGTGCCTGGCACTCCTGCTTTCGGGCCTTCCTCTGCCGCAGCTGCAGTTCCAGAACAGGTGCTTCCTGTCGGAAATGATTTGCCTCCCGTGCGGGCTCAAGAGCTAGCTGGTGCTTTGATGCCTGCTTCAGCACCTGTTTCAACCGTGCCTTCAAGAGGTTGAGCGAGGCAACCTTTGAACGAGTCACTCTGGTGGACTTTCAGGTGGACTTTCAGGTGGGCTTTCAGGTGGGCTCGGCGATGGACTTCGAAAGCGAGCCTCTAGCTTTGCAGGACAATTGCAACGCACCATGGAAAAGGCACAACGTCAGCGTTTGGCAGACCCTGCTGGAACCAAAAGAGCCGCTGATACGGCTGATCCCTGGAAAGACTGCAGGCTGAAGCCTCTGAGCCTCCTTTACCTCAACCTGATGAACCTCCAGTGATTCCAGCGACTTCTTCAGCTGAACCTGCGGGTGAAGTGATGCAAACAGCTCGAGAAGACGTTTTATCTAGTTTGGGTGAACCAACACTGCACTCATTGCAACACATCTACAATGTTGCCTACCAAGACCGGCTCAATCCTACTGAGGTTCGCATGAAGGATCATGGTTCCTGGGACGGCAGATGGCCTTTCGCTTCGAGAACTGAATGGCTTGCTCACCAACGGCTTGGACTTCCCTGGCCTTGTGGGCATGATGATCTGGTTGAGAATGATGTTTTGGCAGTTCAGGCAAACCGCAAGGACTTCCACTGGCGCTGTATGAATGATGCTGAGACTGAATTCAAAATTGCTGCCGAACAAGCTTGGAGTGTGTGGAAAGAAAACGATGCAGTCGAGGAGCTTTCCCTAGAAGAGTCCCAACGTATTCGTGAGAGGCTGAAGAGAGAAGGGCAACAAGGAAAGATCCTCATTCCTCGCTATACGTTCACTGACAAACACGAAGGGACTGAGTAGAACAAGCTGCCTCTACGTGCACGGGCACGCATTGTTGTCCCTGGATTTAAGGACATCTTTTCTTGTGGGCTTCGTAAAGATGCTCCCACGTGGTCGAGGCTTGCTCAACATGTCCCTTTGACCTTGACGGCCTGTTTCAATGTGTTTGTGGTTGGCGCTGACCTTGCTTGGACACTGCTTTCGGCAGACATCAAGTCCGCATTCATGAAGGGAGATGCTTACCTGGAAGGAACAAGGGAGCCTTTCATGGAGAACATCAGAGGAGCCTTAGGTGAACCTCGTCTTCCTTTTCCAGGTCTTGCTCGAATCCGCAAAGGAGTTTTTGGTTTCAGTGATGCTCCGAGAGGTTGGTATCTGCGCCTCAATAAGTCCCTGCTGGCACAAGGTTGGGAAAGAACTTCTCTTGATTTTGCTTGTTGGTTGCTTCGGTCAGAAGACCGAACAAGACTGGATGGTGTGATCATGTCCCACGTTGATGATTTGTTGCTGGGTGGCAATCGTCGTGCAGCAAAGAAACTCAAGGAATTTGGAGAAGAACTTGAATTTGGCAGCACGTCTGAGAAAGACATCACCTACTGTGGCAAGCGCATCCGTCAACATGATGATGGGCACATCACTATTACCATGGAAGAGTACCACAGCAGTTTGAAGACAGTGACGATTCCAGTTCATCGAAGAGCCCATCCTGACTCTGACCTGACAGAGATGGAGCGACGTCAACTTCGTGCCATCCTTGGTTCATTGCAATGGCTTGTTGCACAACTTCGCTTTGATTTGGGTTTCCAGCTTAGCACACTGCAAGGAGAGCCTCCGAAGATCAGCACTTTGATGGAGGCAAACCTTTTGGTCAAACGATTCAAGCAGGATCCAGACTTTGCTTCGACCTTCAAACCTATGGAATTGAAAGGTGCCGGAGTCATGGTGGTGACTGATGCCAGATTGGGAAACGTCACCAAAGCTGGCGGAGCTGATGGAACAGTGCTGGAGAAAGTTTTCAGTCAGAGTGCCTACTACGTCCTCCTTGCGGATAGGGACCTTTTGGCTGGGAAGGAAGGAAACTTTTCTGTGCTCGATGCTAGAAGCCATCGACTTCCTCGCGTATGTCGCCCGACGTATGGAGCGGAATTGCTTGGAGCAAAAGAGGCATTCGATGTTGGATGTTTCTGTCGTGGCTGGTGGGCTGTGTTGCAAGGACTTCCCATTGAGCACAAACGAGCCGAAGAAGTCATGGACTGCATCCCGCTGGCTCTATAGTCACAGATGCTCGTGACTATGACAAGGGCTCTTCAAACACCCCTTCCTTTGGATCTCAGAGATCTCTGGCATTCATGGTGGCTTGGATCCGTGGCGTCCTCAGCAAACCGAATACGATGCTGAAATGGACCTCTACTGAGAATCTCTTCGTGGACTGCGGAACGAAGGACATGAGCGCTGAGCATGTGCATAAGATTCTAGCTGCCGCTGGAGTGTGACCTTCAACAAGGAGTTTGTGAAACAGAAGCAGAAGGCGAAGAAGAAGATCTCTGGTTGATGCGGTGAGAGTCTGCTGGTAGGCAGTGCGTTGGGTGAAAACTCACCAACCTTTCCTTACCTAGCTCGGGAAATCTGAATGGAGGGTCGTGGAAGAAGGTACAGAGTATGACAAGCTGCAGAATCCCCATGCACTTTTTGGAACAGGTGTTGGCATTTGGGTGACGGTGTGCCGTTCCCAAGCTAATAAAGAAGGAGAACCGAGTGAGAAAGCGTGTGCATAGCTTGGAATGGTTGGTATGACAATTGGCATGTGAGGCACAGTTTTGACCCACAGCCTTCGATCCCATGGCAGATTTTGACCATGCACCTGATCCATCTTGCTGTGACCATTTTTCTATCAATGCCATATGCAGCTACGCTTTGCACCGGAAAAACTGCTATGAGTTCGCGTCGCAGCCTGCTTCCACAAGGGATCCTGCAATGTTGGGATTGGATGGAAATCAAGACTCGCCATGCTGCAGAGCTTGGGCCTGGGACTGCAAGTCGATCAATTGTGACCTGGTGGCAATCATGCTGCAGAGTAGCTTCATTCATCACTTCGCAGGCGCAGAGCATGTCCCTTATTGCCCTGCTCGGCTCTCAACCCCGTAACATTCCGCTTGCGCTGTTTGCATCTGAAATTTTCAGTTTTTTAAAAACCTGCGGGAACTTGACCAAGGCCGCAGTCCAGGGTAGTGGTCCTGTTCGCTGAACATCAACCAAACAAGGCCTACACTTGCCTGTCAGTGCCAACAATAAAGCAACCAACCACAATCAAACAGAATCTCTGATGAAACCCACAGTGAAGCTGATTCTTCACTGCAGGTTGCTCCTGGAAAATGGGTGTGGGGACTTGGACTTGTTGTTCTCTTTCGAGCCAGACCTCTACACAAAGTGGATGCTGCAGATGCACCTTCCTTTTACTTGGTGGCAAACTTGTATCGATCTGACGGCATTTAAGGAGCACTTTGGCACGTCCCTTCTTGCAGATATCTTGCCAGATGAGACTCCCGTTTGCACCGGGTGAGTATTCGTTTGGAATGTTTTTGCAAGAGAAATTTAGGATATCTTTCGATATTTTTCGATACTTGCCATAGTTGTGCTTGGCGCCCAAATCACTAAGGAGACTGGGTGGGCAGATGGCCTGAGACCTGGCAGAGCTATGTCCCGTTGCTTTGATCATAGCTGCCTCTTTTTGAAGCACACAGATCTCAGTCGAGCCGCTGTTCCTTCACACAATGTTTTGATCGCGATCTTGAGAGCAATGCGTTTCTTTTTTTTCAGATCGAGGACACCAACTACTGCTGTAACAAATGGATTTCCGTTTCGAAATTTGAGCAGCCAGCTACAGTTCGTAGATCTTCAATGTACACAGGAGATTCGAGGATGCGGAGCGACTCTTTCTTTGCAACCTTGCGCACCTGAGGTGCCGCGAGTGCTTGGAAAGTATCATTTCGCACAGGGTGCAGTCTCCCGCATTAGCGCAGCACCTCTTTCGTCCACACCTCAGAACATGTCTCCGGCGGAATTATTGTTCATATGTGGTAGACATCAAGAAGCAGATGCAGAAAATCTGTTGACCCTTAAAGTCTTTGCATTTGGTCGCAGAAGCCTGGATAGGAATCGGATGAGAACCGGGCCAAGGTCCAAGCTTTTTGCGATTGCATACAGACAGGGCCGAAGTCAGAACATGGAGAAGGTAGACGACAAGTCTCCGTTTCGAACTCAGGTGGTTCAGATGTTCAAGGGCTGAAACTGTTTCCTCTTATATATTCTTTGCTTCTTCAACCTCACTATTGTATATATATATATATGTAATATATACACTATATATACTATATAATACTATATATACTTTTGTCGTTTCAGCGCTCAATCTAAACTTCCTGATTCTCTCAGTGAAGTTGTTTCACCTATCACTTGCTTTCTATGACTTTTTCCCTCGATTGCGCTCACCGTGCAACCAGCACAAAGGCTGTCACTCTTCGTTGTATCAAGAGATCCCTTGGGCCCTTGGACTTTTGCGATACGTTTTAAATCTTCTAAGATTCTCCATCCACTGGGGCTTTTTGTTTCCATTCACATGCTTCTTTTTGGTGAAAGGTCACGTGAGGCCAGTGTCTCTCTGGTGTTGGCCTTAGACAGGGACACAAAGAGGTGCCACAAGCCCTGGCCGACCAAACTGGAGTGTACTCTACTAAGGCCGAGCTCTGGGGTTCGGAGCTGGTCTTCACCACCAAGTCGCTTTCTTTGGAGCCTGGAACCTGCGGGACATCTGGGGACATCTGGGGACATCTGGGGACACCATGACGGGGGCCACTCATGCCACGTCGAAGTCCAAAGGCTGTAGAAATATCTCGATGCCAAGTGAAGTTAAGAGTGATAGATGTGATAGTGACTGATAATACTGATAGTGAAGGCAAACCATAGCGGAGATTCTGTTGGCAGCGTCCATGGTCCAAGCCCAGATCTCAGGCCTCAGAAAGAGCAGATCTGGGCACGATCTGTAGCTGGCCTTGGAGATGGGGCTGTGACCTGAGAGCAAGACATTACAATGTTGATGTGTGGCTCTAGTGTCTTTTGTTCATGTTTGTTCAACCTCCGATGTTACCCTTGTCTCCTTGCATCCCCTTTACAAGCGACCTTTCGCAGACAATTGAATCAGTTGATGTATGTGGAGACGGGTAGTTTTCTTTTATTACACTTTTGTTCTGCATAACACATGTCAGAAAGCGAGTCGCTGTCCTTTCAAGAGCTTCTACGTGTTTCCACATCTTTCCATGCTTAAGTTGGGTCAGAAAACGAGGCCTTCGCCTACACATATCATAGTGGCGCTGAACAACTAACGAAGCAGGTGGACATATCATCTGTCTGTGGATCTTTTGTTCAAGTCATTTTCTGAAACGCATATTGAAAGACCCTTTCTGGAAGAGCTCGGCTCAACGTAGTTAGTGGGTACCACTGGTTACAATTATTGCCCCCACCCGCAAGGCTCGCCCCCATCAATCCTCAGAAAATTTCCGTGCTTCGGTTCGTGGAACTAGCGAGTCTGGCGATTACGAGATTAAACTCACAGTCGAGTCAAACTGAGTGCCACACGCCACCCAGCGCAGCAGACATTGCAGGTGGTCCTGCGCCTCAATGCTGAGCACAGGCTGGGAGTAAGGGGAAGTGACCACGGTGAAGTGGACAGACATGGACAGACTACAGACGTTGATAAGTCTGTCGACAAGTCTGCTTTAACTTGAAATGCAAACTGAACTGAACCAAACTGAACCGAAAGGTCCTGCAAGGTGATCTCCACTGAAGCTGTGAGGCTGGAGATGATCCAAGAGCCGCGTGTCGTCGCATCAGGCTTCAGCCCTTTTGTTAGCCTGGGGCCTTGGCATCTTCCGCTGTGGATTGAACATGTATTGAAGATAAATACTTTGGTTTGTACAGCATAAGAAAGATATGATAAGATATGATATGATATGCGCATAGACAAGCATTGAGTTTAAATGTGGCAACCGTATGCCATATATATATACATATCATAATATATATATATAATACAGATAATATATGTGATACATAATTAGATATAATACATACAAATACAAACATATATATATAATAATAATATATATAATTATAATATAAAATAATATCAGATGTGATATAATATAATATAATAAGATATAATATAATATGATAAAATAGAATGTAATATACAAGTAGTACCTGGGCAAGCCGGGGGCGGAAGTTTCAAATTTGAAATGCTTATAGCCTATAGAGCGGAGCAAAGGCTGCGCCTATAGGTGACAGGCAAGCCTCCTGTGCTTCGTGGCAACAGGCTCTTGACATGTTGAATCTTGTCTCATTTCATCTGATCTCATTGCGTCGCAGCTTCTCTTGGAAATTGCTCACTGCATCCCACTGTCACCGCAGTCTGTGTCATCCCATCTCATCTCAACTCATCTCATGTCTTTTGAGTTTTTCACCTCATCTCAGCTCTTCGCAGCTTATGTCGTCTTATCTCAGCTCATTTGATGTCATTTCATTTTCTGCAAAATCATCAAAATCAACTTGCTCTCTTGTGGTATTTCATGGTTGTTTATCTCATGTCAAAACATCTGACCTCTCATCAGTTTTCTTACACTTGCCATTCAGTCGCTTTCCCAAACCCAACAAGACACCGCAGCAGCTTTTTCCATGCAGACGACACGAAAAGTTCAGAGTAGTTGTTAGCGCGGTCTCTGAACCGTGGGTGCATTGGGATGCACACAGCAAGCCTTCACGCAAAGAAGCTCCTACACAGAAAGGCTATTTACACAGCGAAGCTTTTACACACAGCAAGCTTTCACACAGAGAATCCTTTGCACACAGAAGCTTTTACACACAGTAAACTTTACACACGGCCAGCTTTTACACAGAGCAAGCTCTTATACAGAGACGCTTTCACACAGAGAAGATTTTACACACAGAAGCTTTTGCGCACAGCAAGCTTTCACACACAGCCAGCTTTTACGCAGGCGAGCTTTCACACAGAGAAGCCCTTACACAAGAGAAGCTTTTGTACACAGCAAGCTTTCACACAGAGAAGCCCTTACACAAGAGAAGCTTTTACACACAGAAGCTTTTACACAGAGAAACCATTACACAGAGAAGCTTTTACGCACAGAAGCTTTTACACACAGCACGCTTTTACACACAGCCAGCTTTTACGCAGAGAAGCCCTTACACAGAGAAGCTTTTACACACAGAAGCTTTCACACAGAGAAGCCCTTACACAGAGAAGCTTTTACACACAGAAGCTTTTACACAGAGAAACCATTACACAGAGAAGCTTTTACGCACAGAAGCTTTTACACACAGCACGCTTTTACACACAGCCAGCTTTTACGCAGAGAAGCCCTTACACAGAGAAGCTTTTACACACAGAAGCTTTCACACAGAGAAGCCCTTACACAGAGAAGCTTTTACACACAGAAGCTTTTACACAGAGAAGCCATTACACAAGAGAAGCTTTTACACACAGAAGCTTTCACACACACACAGCAAACTTTTACACAGAGAAGCTTTTACGCAGAAAAACTTTTGCGCACAGAAGCTTTTACACACAGCAAGCTTTCACACAGAGAAGCCCTAACACAGAGAAGGATTTACACAGAGGAGCTTTTACACACAGAAGCCTTTACACACAGCAAGCTTTTACGCAGAGAAGCATTTACACAGAGAAGCTTTTACACGGAGAAGCATTTACACAGAGAAGATTTTACACACAGCAAGTTTTTAAATTGAGAAAACCCGCTAACAAATCACTATCGCAGCCTTGATGCAGCCACTCCAATACGCTTTACGATGTCTAGCTGCAAAAGACACTTTGCTATCACAATGCGACCTGCAAAGACTGAGTTGCAAAGCACAATAGAACTACTACGCGCAACGGCGTCAGAAATTGCAGCTCCAAAACGCATTTCATGCGAGACTGCCCTCAAAAAAGTGAAAGTGGAAGATGTGAAAACGAAGCTGTGGTGCGAGACTTCCCTAAAAAAGCGAAAGTGGGAGATGTGCAAACGAAGCTTTCATACGAGACTTCCCTCAAAATCTGAAAGTGGAAGATGTGAAAACGAAGCTTTCGTGCGACACATCCTTCAAAATTTGAAACTTCAAAGTTTGAAAATGAAGCCTGAACTCGCAGTTCCAATAAGGGGGCCAATCCGACCATGATCCGAACATAGCAGAGCCCGTCTCGCACCCATCCGCCGGACAAGCTTCCCCATCCTTCTTCCGGGACACGTTTTATCCTGCAAAACGCAGCATTTCGTGCATCTGCTATCTCTCAAAAACGCGTGTCGTGCGAGACTTCCCTCAAAAAGTGAAAGTGGAAGATGTGTAAACGAAGCTTTCTTGCGAGACCGCCTCCCTCAAAATCTGAGAGTGGAAGCTGTGAAAACGAAGCTTTTGTGCGAGGCTTCCCTCAAAAAGTGAAAGTGCAAGATGCGAAAACGAAGCTTTCGTGCGAGACTCCCCTTGGTCTGTGACAGCGGTTGCCCTGTGATACCCACTGTTCTGTGACATCCAATGTTCTGTGACATCCGCTGCTCTGTGACATCCATTGCTCTGTGACATCCATTGTTGCGTGACATTCGTTGCTCTTGTGACGTTCATTGCACGTGTGACGTTTATAGCTTTTGTAACGTTCATTGCTCTTGTGACGTTCATGTCTTTGTGACGTCCATTGCTCTGTGACATCCATGGCTTCGTGACGCCCCTTGCTTTGTGACACCCATTGCTTTGTGACATCCATTGCTCTGTGGCATCCATTGCTCTGTGACATCCATTGCTTTGTGACATCCATTCCTTTGTGACATCCATTGCTTTGTGACATCCATTGCTTTGTGACATCCATTCCTTTGTGACATCCATTGCTTTGTGACATCCATTGCTTTGTGGCATTCATTGCTTTATGACATCCACTGCTCTATGACATCCATTGCTTTATGACATCCATTGCTCTATGACAGCCATTGCACACCCATTGCAATCCGTAACACGGAAGTTAGACCTTCAAAACTTCCTTTGATAATACATATATTAAATACTACATGTAATTTTTTAGCTACTGTATAATATATAATAGATACATTATATATAAATATGATACATATACATATAAAAATACACAATACCATATACATATGTATTTAAATACGTATATACATATAATACATATATAGCGCGTGTATAGACTATCAAATATTAAAGGGCTCCGCCCCCTGCCGCCGACCCCTGGGCATATCTCCCATTGAGCAAAACAGCAGGGCCCTGAAGGACGGACCGAGCCTCCGGGCAACGGCTCCCACTGCCTAACGTTGCTTTCTGAACCTACAAGAAAACTAGCTCTCTTCCAGCCGTCACGGCTCACAAACGGCACCCTCGCCACAGCAAAACAGCAGGGCCCTGAAGGACGGACCGAGCCTCCGGGCAACGGCTCCCACTGCTTAACGTTACTAACGTTGCTTTCTGAAGCTACAAGAAAACTAGCTCTCTTCCAGCCGTCAAGGCTCACAAACGGCGCCCTCGCCACAGCAAAACAGCAGGGCCCTGAAGGACGGACCGAGCCTCCGGGCAACGGCTCCCACTGCCTAACGTTGCTTTCTGAACCTACAAGAAAAGTAGCCGTTTTCCAGCTTTCCAAGCTCAGAAACGGCGCCTCCGCCACGCCCAAACAGCAGGGCCCTGAAGGACGGACCGAGCCTCCGGGCAACGGCTCCCACTGCCTAACGTTGCTTTCTGAACCTACAAGAAAACTAGCTCTCTACGGCTTCCAAACTAGCTCTCTTCCAGCCGTCAAGGCTCACAAAC